ACACGAAAGGGATGGGATCGAGACCGGGATTGGGGTCGGGTGGGGATCCGGCGCTCCCTTTCTTTCCCCCTTTTTTTTCTTCTCTCTTATGCCTCGCCTCGCTCGCGCTATGCTACTGCTAGCTTCAGGAGGAGGGCGGCGGCTGGGGAATAATAAAAGAGGGGTGGGGGTTTATTTGGGGAGGGGGAAGGGTTGGGAAATTGGGGCCGCCCGGCCCCTTTCCCATGATTATATGTTTTTTTTATAATAAGAATACGAATTATTATTATTCTTAATCCGCTGTTGCAACTATTAGTATGTAATCGTCAATCCAACCGATCACGTATTAAGGTCGAACCCAAACTTAAATGTCGGAGTGTTACATTTCCTCCACCCTTATAAAAATTTCGTCCACGAAATTTGCTCGGAACTCGTCCTTCCATCAACACCTTTCTTGTTCTTCCTTCCCACAATCATCTATTCTTACTATAACAACTTCGTTGGTACCCTCTGCTCAAATATGTTTCCTTAGCTTGCAGCACTCGTGTAACCATAAGTGCCTCACTGCCCTTTTTACTCCCCAGCTTGATCCCAACGTGGTGAAACAAAATGCCAATTCGGTTTGTCATGTTGATCCAATTCTCTTGGTAGTTGATGTTGAACCTAAATCCAGCATCGAGACAACACATTTCCCCCCTCCTTAAGAAAAATTTCGAGCTCGAAATTTGTTCGTTGTGACGACTCCAAGTTTCACTTGTGATAATCTCTTTACAAGGAATTGTACCTCCTTCTAACCTTGATGTATTGATCCCATGACATCTTGTCAGGCTCCCTGTGACCTACTTAGTTCCTCCTCCGGTTTACTTACCCGCCCCTAGCATTGCTTAATGTATAAATTTCCACTACTCCATGGATCGTAGCCCTACGTTTGATTCTTGCGAACGTAACGACCCTTTCTTGCCTCCTTTCCTCATTTTGTTGGCCACCATTTTCCGTAACTCCTTGACTACCGCCTGTCGACTTCCTACATACTATGCGTCTTTCTGAACCTTATGTTGATCAACTCGCATCCCCGTAGGGTAGGAGCTGCTTTGGACAACCTCTTCTCGCTCATGTAAAGAGTTCACTAAGCAATCCTCTTAGGAATCTCCTCCTCTCCTTCCCGAGACATATCATAACCCCGTCGGGCATCCTAAAGTTATTTCATTATCATGATTAGAGTATACTAGAGATTCTAAAAATAAATCCCGAAAGACTCTGACTCGTTTGGCCAAACTTTTAACTAACACCCACTTTTTCCTTTCATTTAAAAACTGAACCCTTGAAAAACGCAGATCGTCACTCCTGTATTCCTTGGAGACCAAGGAACAAAGGAGTGTCGGTTCTGATACCAAAATGTAACGTCCCGCTCTTTTTCGAAAACCAAACCATAACTCAAATAAAAAACCGGTTACTCTGGAGCAACCCAAACCACTTTTTAAAATAAACAAAATGACATTGTTTAAGAATTTCAAACAAAAAGCCCGAACACTTGGGCAAATGAAAATCCAAATACTTAAAATGAATGAACTCAGAATCTCCAGTTTATACTCCTAACCATGTAACAAAGAAATTAAACTATTCTACCTCTAACTTCTCACGAGCTCCTTGACTTCTCACAGATGCTGGTGCAGCTACTCGCCTCGTCTTGCCTCTTCTCGAGATCCAACCCTGCTAACCCTTCATCGACCTGGTGAGTGAGAAGGGGTCAGTCTCATCGTTACTTCCTAAGGTCTCTCCCTAAGCAAACTTTCTACTAACACGTTATTAGCGGGTTTCCTTTCTTAGACGAAATTCGTTCTCGCTTTCGTCCTTCATACTTTAATTTATTACTTAATAGCTTATGGAATATCATTACTCCTAACCTTATCTTATAGAATTTATATGCTTCTATCCTTGACACTTTATTCCGACATAAATCATAGGAATTCTCGACTTCTATCCTTAACTCAAACACAAGACACTAGGACAACCGCGTTACGTCTCGCCGTCCGGATGCATACCCAAAATCGGCAATGGCACTGCATTACGTCTCGCCGTCCAGTCCACGCCCGGTCAACTACTGCGTTACGTCTCGCTCTCCAGTAGTGACCCAACCGCCCGGGGGTTCATCTTACCATTAATACATCCATACATTCATACATAGCACAACGCGTGCCTCCACCCTTACAGGCGGTGGGATGCCTCACACATATATCGCGCATTACTCAAAAATTAACTAATTAATAACTTGAACGAAGAGCATAAACTAAAAGACCTACGACATAGATTTTACCCCCTATACACTCACCTCTTTAGTCGCGTCAACGTCTGCATACTCACGCTCAAGCCCGAGTGTTTTTCCTCCTTTAGCTCCTCCTCTATCAGTTCATCGTCTTCCTCTTCGGCGACCCTCACCATTGGAGCTCCGCCGCCATTCTTTTCGAGGTCCCTCATCGGGCCACAATTCAACAGCCAACTTCAAACTCCCGACACCAAGGGTCGTCTTGGAGGATAAGGTCGGGGCCTCTCCATCGCTTTACCCCCGCCAGTCGCGATCGTCGTTGCCGAGTTCTCGGCCTTCCTCCCGCCTCCGCTAGACGCGACTCTTCCTCTCCTAACCGGCGTGAACCTCTTCATCACGAGGGACTACAACTTTTGATCGACGGCTAACTCTCTCACCTTCTTTCCCTCCTTAGCCGGATTATCCCCGAAAACCTATTAATAAGAATTCATTTTCTTAGACGACTTTTCTCGATTTAAAACCTTTTTTTATCTAACCAGACACCCTCTCCTCAAAGTCCCATCCTCAAACCTCACTCCAACGGTCTCTTAACCTCTTTTAAAAAATTTCTAGAACTAATCCCTTCAAAACCGACCATTTTTTCTAATTATTTTTGTCTTGGACGAATTTTTCACCTAACTTGAACCTTCTTAACAATTCGGATAATAATTTTCTTATGTCAATAATGAGCACCTATACCCTGTAAAATTAACAAAACCTTAAAATCCACTCCGTAATATTTTTATTTAATTAAAATAAACATTTGAACAATTTCTGAAAATAGAAATACATATTAAAAAAATCCCCAAATTAAATTAAGGACATCTACTAGACCTCCCTCAATTTATAAAATTGTGAAAACTAGGAAAAAACGCCCCCATAGGCTCGAAACAATTTAAAACATCCAAAATAAGTTTCTGCAAATTCCCAGCAGTTTAGTGACCACCCAAAATCTGTCACTATAAGCCTGTAACGTCTGTTGCTAAAAACCCAGAATTGCACCCTCACGAAAATCCCCAAATTAATCGACCTAACTCAAAGGGATCGAGTTCCCTTACGTCTAGAACGTGCCTAGGACTAGATTGGATGACCCGAGACATTGATCTCCTCGTTGATCGATGATCAACCCTCAACCCTTGCCGCAAAACGCTATAGTACTAAAATACGAATTTCGGATTAGACTATCGATGAATCGAGTTTAAAAATCGCGAAGGGTTCGTGATCCTTGCCTAGAAACACGATATGGATGGGATCGGGATCGGGTTCGGGTGGGGAGCCGGCGCACCCTTTCTTTCCACTTTTTTTTTCTTCTCTCTTATGCCTCGCCTCGCTCGCGCTATGCTGTTGCTAGCTTCAGGAGGAGGGCGGCGACTGGGGAATAATAAAAGAGGTGTGGGGGTGGGGGGGGGGGATTTATTTGAGGAGGGGGAAGGGTTGGGAAATTGGGGTCGCCCGGCCCATTATATATTTTTTTTATCATAAGAATAAGAATAATAATTATTATTATTCTTAATCCGCTGTTACAACTATTAATATGCAATTGTCAATCCAACCGATCACGTATTAAGGTCGAACCTAAACTCAAAGGTCGGAGTTTTACAAAACTAATAGTAGAGTAGTGGTTTAAAAGTTTGTGTGTGCTAGATTGCGAAGATGCAAATGTGTGGTTCATCATAGTGTGGGCTCGCAATGTATATTTCTTGCCATAAATTGTTTGTCGCATCGATCTATGATGCATTGTTTTTGCTGCTGTTGCAACAACGATTCAAACTCTTTAGGTGCCAGACAAACCAGGGCAAGGTTTGCTTCATGGTTCGTAGTGACTTTTAATTTACGACATCCGGATTCACATTAAGCATGCAATTTGTAGAATAATCTGGTGGAATATAAATAAATAAATATATATACGGTTCAGGCGTACAGCGTACGACGGTCGTAGGAGAGGCCAACAGCCATTATAAGACTTCTATCGAGTCGGAGATCTGCCGGGAAGAATCCCGCCGGGAAAAGTAACCAGTGGGAGATGGAAGACCGGATCTCAATGACATCGTCGTCGGGTTCCCCGATACAGCTGGATTCTTCGTTTCGGTCGACAATTGAAGGAACCCTGAAAGTACATTTACCTTCATCAATAATATCAGAAATTATAGGTAGAAGCCGGGCATAAACCAAGCTAAAAATCCCTAGAGTGTAGAGGGATACATCGGCTTGATTTAGGTTAGGTAGATACCAAAACTTTTATCTACAGATGATAGGAGAATAGGGAAATCGTAGTATGTCCAAGGAGGTGATAGGGGATGAATTTTAATTATATTAAAGTCCCTCACCTCTGATGAGGATGACGAAGGACTTGCTGGAAATGGAGAAAACATGAATAGGAAAGGAAAAAAAGGAAGGAAGTGAAATGGTTTGTGGGACCTTCTCAGAAAAGGAAATGGATAAAAGTTTGGTGACATTCAATATTTTAGTTCTGCATTTTGAAAGAAGAAATGAAAACAATTGCAGTATTTATTGTTGATAAGAAATTTTGGGTGTTAATAATTTATGAATAGCAAAAAGAAGGTACTATAAATGTAAAATTGAAAATTTACATGATTGATTTAAGCATAAAGACGGCAAAATATTATTTGGGACTAAATAGTATTCTGAAATAAATTTATAGGTATGCTTGTAATGTTAATTATTCTTTATTATTTACTTAATTATAACTAATTAAAAATTATTAACAAGTGTGAACACAGGCGTACAACGTACGACCGTCATACGCTAGCCTTTGCTATATATATGAGCAAACAAACTACAGTGTACACAACAATACAAAGTACATAGGTGAAGAATGTCAACCGTAATTAGCTTCATTAGGGAAAATGAAAATCTAGTTTATAGGGATCAAAAGAACATATAGATACAAAGTGCTTAAAAAACCTTCATCTTTTTTCATGACCCGCTGGTGCCCTCTCATCACCTGGTGATGTCGTCTTACCTTAGCAGCTCTCTTCAGCATGAGTAAAACTAAAAGAGACCAGGAATCAAATACTAACCTAGTATGTTATGTTTGGACTGTTACCCTGCCACACACGCACGCACACACACACTCTCTCTCTCTCTCTCTCTCTCTCTCTCTCTCTCTCACTACAATTGAGTGCGTGTAGAGGAGAACCCATGGCAGCTCTATTCCGTAACAGACTGTCGGATTTTTTGATCTTCTTCTTCCTTCTTTTTCTGCCTTCATGTTCGCCATCTTCATCCTCCTAAACTACGACCAAGAGATTTTATGGGGGGAATCATACTTTACGTTGCTGCTTACAGCTCACTCATTGTCTTCTTCTTTGCATTCTCCATATCATAGCGAGAACTTCATGCACACGGATGAAACCAACACCCCAAAGATGATATTTAGTTAAGGTAGAACATCCACGAACATGATTGAATCAAACATGGACCTATCAAATAGTTAATTTGAAATAAAACCTCCAAAAGGTAATTTATTTGCTTTCTTTCTTTTCTGCTAAACCAACACTCTCATATTCTTCCCTTTGTCAACCAAATAATGAAACCAAATCCATTAAGTATGCAAAGACCAAAAAGGCTAGGACTGAAAATTCCCAAAATAAAGAAGGCTGAAAACGCAGACTAAAAACATAACCAACTGCCAAAAAGAAAAAGAAAAAGCTTACCTAGAGAGTGCTAGAGAGCAGTGGGCAACCCTCGTCGCCTCTGCTACCTCCGGAAATCTATACCAACAACAACTAGCTCCACTATCATGCCTATTGCATGAACCCGAAGGCCAAAAAGGAAAATTCCGATTAGGGTAGCAGGAACCAACAAATAAAAAATCCAAACATACCCAAAATGAGAAGGAAATAAATTCACAAAAACAACTTACCTTGGTCGGCATTGATAGGTGCCGCAGCTCTTGCGGGAGGCTATTTTCTTCTTGCATATGTTAGTCGTCGGTCGAGGAATCACTTCCTTCTTCCTGATAGAAAATGCTAAAATAAAAGATAAGTAGTAGTCAGAATTCAAGCCAAACAAAAAATCCCAAAAGATACAATATGCTAAAAGGCTCTCACCTATCGCCAGGACCATCACTGGCGCCCATTGCCGGCCTTCTAATCGCACTATCGTCGTCATTCATGCCTTCCCTTGTCTTCGTTGTTTGCAGAAAGAAAAATAGAAGGAGAAAGTACTTCTACCTAAGGAAGAGAACAGAGAAACCCAGAAAAATCAACTTAGATAAAAAGAAGATGTAGATAAATAAGATCGATGTGGTTAGGAAAACTCACAACCTAGCTAACCAGAAATCAAACGAACCTCCTTCCTTAGCAAGGTTGCTGCTTTATCGTCGAAAATTTGGCATCATAGAGAGAGAAAGAGACAACGACCGAGCTGAATCGCAGAGAGAAGGCGACAACACAAGTTGGGAGAGGTCGAGATCATCGAGGCTTTCCTTGATTCGTTCCTTCTCTTCCTCTCCTGGTTCTTCCTCTTCCTTCGTCTTCTGCAGAAAAGGAAAATAAAGGGAGAGATGAAGATTGGTGGGTGGGTGAGAGGGTGGGTGAGAGGGAGGATTACAAGAGTGGTAAAAATGTGTGGATGGAAATAAAAGTGGAAGGAAAACATAGTCATATTTTGGGTCCTTAAAGGTTTGGTTAATTACAAAAGAGTCTTTTTTTATGTGATTCTACCCAATAGTAACCTAAAATACGCCAGAACTCGTAAATACTAGATTCAATTATCTTTCACCGGTTTGATAAATTGGGGCGAGTTTTTAACAAAAGCCAGAACCGATTCAATCCGTTAATTACAAAAGCGGATAAAATTCATTGTCGGACAAAAATTCGACAACATCGATATCGGGTCGAATTACAAAAGGGGGGTAAAAATAAAATGCAATCCCGACCCAAAAATCGCCAACCCAATTCAACCCGCTTTGATTGTGTTGAATTAAACTGAAAAAGCGGGTAAAATGCATTCTCGATCCAATACAATAATTACAAAAGTGCATAAAATTAATTCACACACCCTAAGTGTCAAGGGTAAAACTCGTCCTCGACCCAAAATTTGTCAGCATTGGATTCAACTCGATAAAGCGGGGAGAGTTTTTAAAAAAATTCTCACCTGACCCAATTTGTTAATTAGAAAAGCAGGTAAATTTGTTCCCACCTACAATTCTGCAACACCGATGTCGGGTCGAAAAAAGCAGGTAAAATGCGTTCTCAACCCAATTCAATGATTACATAAGTGGATAAAATTCGTTCACGCCCCCAAAAATGTCAAGGGTAAAACTCGTTCTCGACATAAAATTCGTCAACACTGGATTCAACTCGATAAAGCGGGGCGAGTTTTTAACAAAATCCACATCCGATCCAATTTATTAATTACAAAAGCAGGTAAAATTCGTTGTAGGCCAAAAATTCAGCAACACTGATACCGTGTCGAATTAGGTTGAACACAAATGAATTTGGGTCCAACTGTCATAAGAGGAAATATTAAAAAACATTTGATTAATGAACCACTTCGTTAATTACAAAAGCGGGTAAAATTCGTTTCCGACCTAAAATTCGACAACACCGCAGGGTCGAATTAGGTTCAACACAGGTTTAATTGTTGTAAGAGGATTAAAACATATGTTTATAAGAGAATTAAAACATTTGTTTATTTAATAAAAAAGTTTATTGTTAAACTTTAAGAGAATTGAAGTTTAACAATAAAGTAATCCTAGTTGTGTGGCTCTAAAGAATAGTGAAAAGTTTGCTCGTTTCCGACCTAAAATTCGAAAACACTGCAGGGTCGAATTAGGTTGAACACACATGAATTTGAGTTTAATTGTTATAATAAGATTAAAATATTTGTTTATAAGAGAATCAAAATGTTTGTTTATTTAATAAAAATTTTAACAATAAAATAATTCTAGTTGATGTGACTCTAAGAAATAGTGAAAAGTTTGCTTGTTCTTTTAATAATAATAATAATAATAATTGAAATGCTCATCGGATATTACCGCTTCCAAGTTGGTGGCCCGCTTTTTTTTCTTCTTCATTTCTTTTACCGCTTTCATCACTATTTGCAATTTTTTCTGCCTTTTTCATTTTTTTTATTGATCTATACTCGTTTACAGGGGATATAGGGTGGGGATATTGTCATTAGCCTTTGCTTTATAATTATTTGTTAGGATTCTACTGCTTCTTTGGTACCGTCTCATCTAGGTTTTCATTTGAGTAGGACCAACCCCTCTATTTTGTTTGGTTTTTCAATTTTTACCATGCTTGGTTAATTGTGATGCTTATTTTTTCATGTTGTTCCGACATGTTTTGTTGTTTCTCATGTGTTTGAAAATACTGCATTGTTTGCAGGCTGGTTGTAGAGTCTATGTGTTTGCTTGTTTTGCATTTTGCAGGGTATGCTGCTTTGCGGTCATTTGACAGCCACAAAGGCTTAGTCCTTGACTTTCACCCTGCAAAGGGTGGAAATTAAGTTAAGGACTTAGTCTTTGCCGAATAGGTATTAAAGAACTGCCTGTATCGTGGCAAGAATGCTCTCTTATTGTTGGTCGGTTGGCATCCCTTCTTATTCATTTCAGCCTGAAAAAATATTTCATAAAAATAGACTCTCTCATCCATACTCATACTCATATCAGTTTCATAAAAATATATTTCTTTATATATAAAAGAATAATCTGCCATAGTCTACGATCTTTTTTTTTTTTACTATTAACACTCAACACTAAATCTGGTCTTGTTCTTCATCCCGTAACAGTTGTCTTGATAGTAATAACATATTTTGACCCCTAAAACTGGAAAATTATTAGCTCCAGTCTTGGTTGAACCCATAAACTCCAACTAGCCACATGTTAGTTTTCTATTGGTTAGTTTATCTTTCTTTTTTATATTTTAATTCTTGATTTATTAAGGATAATTAAGAATATTAAATATTAAGAAAAAAGGAAGGTGAATCCACCAATAACAAACTAACACGTGGATTGGTTGGAGCTTCTACGTCCAACCAAGGTTGGAGCTAAGAATTTTCCACTAAAACGTATCAACTATCTATCCTAAATTGTTTGATCCCACTTATTCGAGTTATTAAGAGAATTTTAGGTAATAAATCTTATATTACTCTCTAACACGTTCTTTTAAACCTGAGTTAACTCACATGTTTAAATTGCAAAAGCCTACTATACCTTTTAATTAGATCGATCAACTATTAATATTAAAAATCATAGAGATTTAAACACACAACATAACCACTTAATCAAACCAACTCTGATACCACAAATCTATGACCACTCTTTAACACAAACTTCTGAAGCAACACTGAACTCAATACCTTGAATGAACCCAAACTCAGCAGCCACTTAAACACTAAATGGGATCGAGCATGCATATCACTAATTATTCCAACAGTTCCAAAAAATTTAACCCTCTCAAATCGACAAACAATTACACATCATAATTAAAAAAAAAAAAACAGATACCCTGCAGATCACGTCTTACTTCCAGCAACAACACGCCAATAAACAAGACTTGACTGCAGATGGCAAGACACGTGGAGCACACAACTAGCATTGGTGACGAAGGCCATGCATGCATGCATGTTAAGGATAAGCTTCGATAAGGCATTTTGGACCCAACGAACGAATTATCTTATAGTCGCTGAAACCCGCCGCCATGAACAAGCTCTGCCATTCCTTTTCATTTCGTTCTTTTCCATTGAAATGAACAAGCATCAGAAGATCGAAGCAATACTGCACTTGACATAACTCGTGATTTTCGAGCACAGCCTTATGGCCCATCACCATATCTATGACGATCACTTTCCCTTTCTTTTTATCATCTTGGGAGACTGCCTCCCGACAACACTTCAAAATCTCCAGGCACTTCTCATCATCCCAATCATGAAGAATCAACTGCAACATTATATATCGACAACAGGTTGGTTAGTTGGTCGATGGTTCAGTGATTAACTATTATATAGCCATTGGTCGATGTTATATATAAGACATTGATAACACATAAATTTAGGACTCAGTTTGTCAATAACGAAAATTATTCCGAATTCTTTTCATCTTGCACCAAAAGTTCATCATTCAAAGAGTCCCGCAAGCAAGATTGTCAAACCGGTTTATATCGTTGTGCCGGTTTGACAAATAGAATGTTAAGATTGGTGGTACAACCAGTTTGTGCCGATCCATGCCAGTTTGACAAAATATGTACATTAAAATGTGAAAACACTTAATGTTCAATGAATTTAATCATATAAAAATATAGTTGAGGACAACTTACTTACAATTCAACAAATAACATTAACTTTTAACGCTTAAATTCATAAAATAAATAATAAATTGATTTTGTATGGATTAAATTCACTAAAATGACATCATTTTGTTTAGAATACGTAAGTCGATCATACCGGTTATACCGATGGTATGTTATGTCGGTTTCATGACTGGTACCAGTTCAACCTGGTTCAACCGGCCGCCATGCCACCAACATGACAACCATGCTCGCAAGAGAATCATTTCATTTTTTTTATTATCAAAAGTCAAAGTAATAGCTAGAATGACAATCCATAGTGGATTGCGTAAATCTAATTAGGAGGCTAGAAAATGAAAAAAGAGAAAGTAAAAGTAGTAATGAGAGCTGGATGGTATCAATTCAAATTATATTATATTTTTTCGAAACATTTTTCAGTTAAAAAAGTGAATCTACGAACCAGTCAGATCTGACGATTCATTCTCTTTAATCTCCTACATATGGTAAAAAAAATCATCTGACTCGTTACTGATCGTCCAATCAAATGAACCGAACGCTACTATATAAATGACATACGGACCTTGAGGAGGACTATGTCTGCGGGGGGAACTTTCTCAAACATGCTCCCTCCAACGACCTCCAAATTCTCAAGACCCTTAACACCATCTCCCTCCTTTAAGTTGGCAACCACGCGAGGGAGATCGAACACAGTGCACTTGAGCTTCGGGAACGTCTTGGCAATTTCGACGGCCATCGTCCCGCCGCCACCGCCGACGTCCACCAACGACTCCACCCAACTTTCTTCAAAGACCTCCCTGCACTCCGACACCAGCACCCTCGCCACCAGCTTGGAATCCTCGATCATGACCCCGCGGAACGCCTTCTTCTGGTCCGGCGCCTTCTCCAGCCACTCCCAAAACGACATGCCGTCGCGGACCATCTCGAACGGTACCGGGTCGCTGGAGTAGAGGAACCACGAGCTCAGCATCCCCCACTGCGCCATCATTTTTGGGTCGAGGTGGAGGTCTATGAAGGGAGACAGTGAACCGCCGGGGAGGAGCAGCTTGCCCATGGTGGTGAGGGAGTAGTAATGATCTTCCCCTTCTTCTTCTTCTCCTCCAAGTTGCTCATGATCAGCTGTGCGACAAGCAATGAAGTTAGAAAGTGAGGGATTTTATGATGAAACGCTTTTAGCGGTGAGCTATAAGCGCGTAAAAACGTAACATTTTAAGATTTAAAATTGTGATTTTAACTATATTAATTGGCAGAAAAAAACGCAATTTACATAGAAGCAATTTGGTATTTTGACTAGAAATATATTCAGCGTAAACTTTTAACTTTTAAAGCGCTATTTTGAGTGAAGCGCGAGCTTACACACGGGGAATGAATGGATATAGTTCTATGCCCTTTAGTTCTACTCTGCAGTTTTATTAAACATGTCACTTTACTATTTTTTACATCAAACATGCTCATATAATTTGGAACCGTGACTAGGATAACCTGGTCTCAGCAAAATGAGAGGAAAATTAAAATGTCATTTTTTTCCTCCTTATATTTCTCTAAGTCTCGATAAAGTGAAATTATTAGGTGTATTGAGCTATACATAAGAAATAAAAAAAATATTAAAGTGAAATTATGAAAGGTATGTTAAATTTTGTATCGCCCAAATTTGGTTCGACCGTAGTTGACAGTGTTTGAAGGATAATTTTAACAAAATGACATGTTTGACAATCCAAATTACATGGACATTTTGATGTAAAAATCTATACATAATATTATGACAATTCAAAATTAAATTTTTGCCACATATGCACTTGGAGAGATCTCAAGTTGCCAAGGTGCACTATTTTTTTAACAAAAAAATAGTTATTGACCTATTTATGGAGTTGTCCTTCTCACTTCATTTAATATTTAATTCTCTTTTATCCAATAATTATTTTGCTTTTGTTTTTGCGTTATATCTATAAATAATATATGGAGAGAAAGGTTATCAAACCGGTTTGGCAAGTGGAATGGTTTTACCAGTTGTACAACCGGTTTGTGTCGTTTCATGCCGGTTAATAAAATATGTAGAAATATAAAAATTATTAATATAAAATGAATTTAATCATATATAAACCATATTTGAAGACAATTTACGTACAATTCATATTGATATTTGAATAAAATATAATATTTCAAATAAAATTACATGTGTTCATACTTAAATTCACTAAAACTAAGTAATTTACTAAGAAATTCGTAAAACGATCATACCGGTCATACCGATGGTGTCATGTCGATTTCATGACCGGTACCGGTTGAATGGTTCAACCGATGGCATGCCAGCTGACGTGACAATGATGATGGAGAGTGACATATATCACATTTTGGTTTTGCATTATATCAACGTACGCAACAGTATACTAATGTTCGTAGAGTGACATATATATCACATTTTTTAAACCAAAAAATATATGATTAAAGATTACTATGTAAATTTCTGCTCATTTTTACTAAAACTTAATAAGAATTTACATTTTAATGAATAATTTAAACAAACAAAAATAATAATATTTTGTCGATAAGGTCTGAAAGAAACTTGACCAAGAAATAATAGTATTTATTAAAAAAGCTTCTTATTCATTCTGATCAAGTGAAAACATATGAATCACATATGCAGTATTTATAATGTATCATAAGTTCACATTACTAATATTTTCTCTAGGTCATGTTGATTGAGCAAGTTCTATTGAGGTCTTACATCATATGCTAAGAAATTTTCTTTTCAGACTTGGAGTCATTTATTGTTAAAGATTATAAATTGAAGTTTCAAAATGACTTGAGTATAATATTTGATGAACTTTGACTTCATATTCTAGGATGAGACACGAGATCACTTGAAAAATGAAACGTGTGAAATTTAGAGAAATCTTTGTTACGGATGTACGTTAAACATCACATTTCATGCTAAGAAAAATCTAAATTCGAAGATTGAGGTAATAAATAAACATTAATGTTTTACTTCACATATATAACAAAAATCATTTATAGTTACAATAGTGTAAACCGAGCTATTGGGTCAAAAGAAGAATATATAATAAATATGAGTTTAGTAAGAAAATTGTAACAAGTCTATATAGTTGTGAGTTTGTGATTTCATACCAAATTTTGGCAATAATAAAAAAAATTGATATCATATTCCACCCAAGGAGCTGAGTTAAAAGGTATTAATTAGTGTTGAAAGTAAAATAAACTCTGTATATATATATATACGTTTAGATATTAATAATAGATGTGTCTACAATACATCCAATAATTTAACTACACGTGAAAAGCCACAATGTTTGTATGAACTTTTAAATTTTGCTACAAAATATTTTGTTAAAAAATTATAAGTTAATTATTCAAGGAATGCAAAATTTTGAATGCACCTGAAATATTTGTCAGTCATATACACTTTACCAATTATTAATATAAGTAATAAATTTTTTGTTCTAGAACAAACACCAAATATAAAGAAATTTTAGCGAATGGACATTCAAATAGTTGAAAATTTATACATTGAAGGAACATGTTAAGATGAGAACCTTCGATAGTGTATATGAATTCTTGGATTCAGATTCTAAACGAACATCTAGACAAAAGGCATGGGTTGAGGGTTAGTACAAACTTAAAATATTAGCAATTGTAATAAGTTGCTATACAAAGACTTCATGAACATCAACAATAAAAATGAGTGAGGTTTATAGAATTTAATCATTTTTAAGGGATACGATGTGTGTCAAATTTCAATTGGGATAAACATAATTTATCCAGTAATCAAATGTCTTTTTCCAATAATTTGAACTCTGACTAATTGGGTGAGAGTTCGTACAAACTCGAGAATCATGAATTGATATATGTTGTATAAGATAATAAATTTGAGCGTCTTGGTTGAAATTTTTTTATATACGATCCTAAATGGGACGTGATAAACCTTTACGACATGATTTATGATATGAGAATAAAAACATCACAAGCGAGTGTGCTAACTATTAAATATTATTCGATATAGACATACCACATATTCACTTATGAAGCGAGAACAGAAAATGTATACAAGATTCAAAAAGTTCAAAACATGTAAATAAGTTAACTAATATAAATAATAAAATGAACTTCTCCGGCCAACTAACTGGCCGGATAGAAAACTAGTAATAAAGATGCATCTTTGATAAAAATCGGATGTAAAAATAATAATTAAAGATGCATGTTTGTTAACAACCCATAATCCTAACTCTTACCTCCGCCACCTTTGTCGGTAGCAGTGAAGAATCCGGCGTGGACCAGCGGGCGCATGAGGCGTCGCAGAGCGTCAACCTTGGAATGGTGAAGGGGAAGGGGAAGGGGAAGGGAGGAGGCCAGGTCGGAAAGTGAGGTCGGGCCCTGATGTCGGTGGATGGCGTCGGGCACTCCTAGCACGACGATGCATTTTAGCGCCATGGAAACTATGTAGCTGAAGGCAAAATTCCTGGCGCGAGCCTGAGCTTCAAACAGCTCGTCGCTGCTAATACTCCCTCCTACCAAATCTTGGCTCATTTTTATCAGTTTGGAAGTTGATGTCTGGATGATCATGAGATGGTGAAAGACCATGGATGGTTGCTATAGCTCTCTATATAGATGAGATGGGCAGGCGGAGAGATCATGATCGTTTTACTTGCAAGTTGCTTACTTGTTGTGATGCTAATGAATGAATGAATTTAGGTACGTAAATGAAATAATGGACAAGGATATATAAGATCATGACATCAGGTGGCTGGCTGATTCCATTTTTTCTTTTTAGGCGGCGGAGACGGGCAAGAAGAGAGCAAGTGGGGTGCCTCAGCGATACGTATAGGAAAAGAAACTTCGATACTGTACTTTGACAAGATGATGGGTAGGGATGACAATCAAATCCATGACCGTGGCTATCCAATAGTATCCGATCCAGTCAACGTGGAGAATTCTCGTATTGATTGGGTATGGGGCGGGTATGGGTAAAACTCGTAAAATGTTTGATGGGTATGGGGCGGTATGATTTTAGTCTCCCATGTCCCATACAAACACCTATACCCATCCCATCAAAAATATTTCTTCACATGTACGAAATACAGTGGAGGAGGCTGGATTTGAACCTACCCCTGTCCTCTTTTTATAATATAAATATATAATTTTTTAATAAATATAATTAAAATTAATTATATTCAAATAATTAATTAATAGATAAAACATACCTGACTAATACAATTATTTTTTCCATAAAAACCACGATGGAATTTCACATTGTGAAAGAAACGCAAAAATATTCGTTGTTTACACTCTTAAGTAATCATTAGCAAAACCTTCGCCAATTTGACTTGGAAACTTGTTCTTACTATAAGTCAAAACTGAAAATGCTCTTTCTACACTTGCAGTTACAATTTGTAGAATCAAAACTAGTGGAATTGCTATTGTCGTTGGATAATTTCAGGGTTGTTGGGGAAAAAACCGAATAGGCATAAGTAGAAAAGAGATCGAATTAGGTCTTTGTTGCAATTGGAATTTCATTTATAGTATAATAAATTAATTTTATGTCGATTGATGAATAAGTTATATATGGGGTTTTTTTCCTCCAAAATTTACCACTGTCCCGTGACAAGGCCCTGCCTCCGCCTATGACAAAATAGATGGATAAAATTATAACGTATCAATGACTGCGAGGGTAACTCAAGAAAAATAAATAGTAGATATGTAATTGAGTGGCCACCCAAATCAAAACCTAATTCATTTTCCTCAATTCTCCATTCACTCTCACTTTTTCTCTTGTGTTAAGAAGATTATATTTTTTTTTTATAATGGCGATGATGATATTAAAGAGAAAACCCATCAACGGAACAAGGATCAAAAGGTTATATTAGTTAGTTATAATTTAGTAGATGTATCAGAGAGAATAATGATTTGGATTAAATTGTGCTCTATCTTATAGATTAACGGATATTTTAGGATAAGATACTTTGACATGTATTAAGAATGATCGTCTCTTTGTAGACTTCATGATAAAGTAGGTGCGTTTAGTGTTATAATTGAAAAATTACATGTAAAATTTTAGGTATTATATAGTTGGATGTACGGGACGGGTATTACCCATCATACCCAAACCCACGAGTATGAGGATGAGTTTGAAAAAACTTCCTCCACATGAAAATGGGGCGGGTATGAGTTTGGATATTTGAAAGCGGGGATGATAATGATGTAGGCAAACCCACACCAAACCTTCCCATTGCCATCACTAATGGGCGCGCACACCCTCGTGTATATCAAAGGGACAATAGTCTAGAATGTCTTTTGAGAGCTAGTTTACGACTTTGCTCTCTTTATGACTAGTTACGGGCCCGACCAATTGTCCGGATGCATTTCATCAATTGCATAATCTACAGTATAATTAGTATTTTGAGATATGAAAATTTAAGTTTTCAAAATATTCAAAACATTCATAAGGATTGGTAGTATAAGAGAATCCAAATTATTAAAATACTTGTTATAAAAAAATTATTAAAATACTTGAACCATTTTAAAGGATCAACTTCATAGTATTTTTCGAGATTCTAACTAACTCATAGAAAAAATTAAAATTTATTACTTTTTTTATCTATCCACATCACATTGAAGTAAATTTGAATCGAATCGTAATTCAAATGAAAAAGAATTTTTCTCTGGCTACACTTTTTGTCACTCTCTATTGTTTGATTAACGTGAAATAAGCTTGTATGACTCGAATATCGTTGCATGCTTCGATCTTGGTATTTGATTCAAACTTGATGACCAATTTGTTTGGTCTATAAACTCACAATGTTAGGCTGGTCTTGAAGTTCTTGATAGTGTAAACTATCTCTTCATGAAATAGAGGCGAAATGTGCTTGATTTTCCCTTTGGGAATTTGAAGCAAAATATAATTACCCTAGAAAATTTTGTCATATTAAGAATATTTAAGAACTTGAATCATAGAGTTGATTTTGCGTGGTTATTGTTAGTTTACCTTTGAGTCAATATATAATATCGAGAAGAAGAATAATACATGTGTTGGGATTGTTTGCCTGCCACTTTCATGGAACCCGGCATTAAGGAATCCGGTGTCTCTTTTGAGTTATCAGATCATATATCAATTGGGGTTGCATATTGACTATCATTCATTAAAAATATCGATCATAATTATATTGTTTCACAATGGATATCAGTCTAACTCACAAAATATGGTAATAACTAATAAGCACAATCTTAATGTAGGAAGTGTGTAATTAAAAACACAACCATTAGCTCTTTCTAAAATATGTTATCATACCTAACTATGCATATTATGTTCTTAATAAAATTTGGAAAGTAAATTTAAAATCACAATGGAAGATTTGTAGCACTTAAATGCAATTTAATCCTCTAAAAATCATGAATATACATGAATTGAAAAGATTAATTTCTACTACTAATACATACTAACAAGTTAGAACGTAGAAAATTGTAAATGGGTCAATTTTTAATAATTTTAATTCGATTTTAACAATTAATTTAGCTATTGGGTAGACATACACATTTCAAATATTTTGAAAACTTTAAAATATAGCATAGGAACTCACTAAATGTACTTTCCCCCATTAATTAATTTTTGCTGAAGACTCTAAGACTCTCTCTCTACCTTTTTTTTTAAATTTGCTCTGCCTTCTCTCTTCTTCCAGTCTTCCTTTTCAGTTTTCGGGGGCTGCCGCCGGCTCCTTTTAGGTGACCGGCGGTAGCCCAAAATTTTATTTTCCTGTTTTTGTTTCTTTATCATGCTTTTTTTCTCTTGCCTGTGTCCTGGGCAGTTTTCAATCGGATTTCCAGCTGTTGTGGCTTTCAATGTTCTCCTTTCCAGTCGAGCTATGACTCTTCTTTCGGATCTATGTTTTCTGTTCTTGGGCTTGCTCGTCATAGGAGATGGAGTCTCCAACTTGGGAGCCTCTTCCAGATCTGGATGGTGGGGGTAGTCCCTCGTTGGTGGCCTCATCTTCAAGGTGAAGCCATTCCCTTCTTTCCCTCTCCGACCTCCCTAGGTGTTTGAGTGGCTTAGTGAGCCGTCGGATGGTGATGGGTTGGGTCTTCTCTAGTGGTTGCGGTTGGGATCGGTGTTTTCCGTGGAGTTTTTGTGGCTACCTTGGGAGCTTCTGCTCTTCTTCGAACCTGATCTCTCTGCCTCGGCCTCCTCTGCCTCTTCAGCTTGGAGCAATCTGGTTCATATCCTCTTTCACCGCCATGTAGTCTAGTTTCTAGATTCACCGTGATGGATGCCTTTGGGTTTTCCCCAGGAGGCGGCACATGGAGTGATGATGTTCACTTACCATGGATTTCGATATGATCGGACAAGCTGATTGTGGTTTTGTTGCACTTTGATTGGTTGTTTGCAAGAGAGATCCTTGATGATCTGTTTTCGGTCAAGGGTTTTGCTCTTTTTGGGTGGTTGCTTGCAGACTGTGTTTTGTTCTTTATTGCTGCATTTTGTCTTACACAACTTTATTTGTAACCGAATGCCCTTGATCTTCCTCTTGTTGGAACCAGATTATTGGTTCGTTCACCATCTTTATAACTGATCAGTTTTAATTTTAAGGCCAATAAAGTCCCCCTTTGTCAAAAACTATTCCTCTTTGAATGCTTCATGCATGTATCTGAAATTGGGATCATGGACCCAGACAAGACGGGCCTAGCCCATTAAACATGCAGAGGAAGCAAACCGAATTCGTCCCTTTCTAAAATAAGGATGTTATCATACCTAACTATGCATATTATGTTCTTAATCAAATTTGGAAAGTAAATTTAAAATCACAATGGAAGATTTGTAGCACTTAAATGCAATTTAATCCTCTAAAAATCATGAATATACATGAATTGAAAAGATTAATTTCTACTACTAATACATACTAACATGTTAGAACGTAGAAAATTGTAAATGGGCCATTAGTAGGAAAAATATACCGAGGTTAGAAAAACATTAACAACGTTTCAATAGGAACCATAAAGAGAAAGTATAATAGGAGTGACAATGACAAAGAAAGAATGCATGCAATAATTCGTAAGCTAAAAAATTATCAATATGTGGATTAAGTATGTCAGTAAGAGCATTCGATAAAAATAACAATATCAAATGTAAATAAAAATCTAAGTTATGAATTATACATTTTCATTAATTTTTACATTGAGTCGAATTTATATTATGAGAGGTTTGTGAAATAAATTAATTGATTATTTTCAACTCAAATATTTTTCAATGTATGTAATCCAATGATCATTATAGATTGGTCACTAATCTGATTTGAAGATCATTATTGATTATCTTCATAGTAAAAAAAGTATTTTCACAGCTTGCACTTGCATCATATGTGTCAATTATAATTTTTAAAGGTGTGACAAAGATTATAGGTTCAAAATTTTATTACGACGAAACATGAAGTTTTCACCAAAATTTGAAGAGAAAGTGTACTCTCTCCCGCACTTAGGTCCGCTCCGAATAGGAGAAAGTAGTTATCAGCATAGTTAGTAAAATACGATATGAGAAAGGT